AGGCTATAGTCTATTCGATAGTCCAGACTTTAGACTATTCTATAAGCCAGGACTATGGCCTATTTTATAGTCCAGGACTGTAGCCTATTCTATATTCCAGACTATAGTCTATTCTATAGTCCAGATTATAGGATAATTTCTATAGTCCAGACAATAGTCTATTCTATAGTCCAAACTATAGTCTATTCTAATCTATATAGACTGTAGTCTATTTTAGAGTCGAGACTGTAGTCAATTCTATTGTCCAGAATAATTGACTGTAGTCAATTCTATAGTCAAGACTATAGTCCAGACTATAGTAAATTCTATGGTCCAGACTATAGTCAATTCTATAGTTCAGACTATAGTCTATTCTATAGCGCAGACTATACTCTATTCTCTAGTCCAGACTATAGTCTGTTCTATATTCCAGACTATAGTTTATTCTATAGACCAGACTATAGTATATTCTATAGTCCAGACTATAGTCTACTCTATAGTCCAGACTATATTCTATTCTATACTCCAGACTATAGTTTATTCCATTCTATATAGGCTATAGTCCATTCTAGAGTCGAGACTGTAATCAATTCTATAGTCCAGACTATAATCAATTCTATAGTCCAAGCTAGTCTAATCTATAGTCCAGACAATAGTCTAATCTATAGTCCAGACTATAGTCTAATCTGTAGTCCAGACTATAGTCTAGTCTGTAGTCCAGACTATAGTCTATTCTATAGTCCATACTATAGTCTTTTCTATAGTCCAGACAATAGTCTATTCTATAGTCCAGACAATAGTCTATTCTATAGTCCAGACTATAGTCTATTCTATAGTCCAGACTATTGTCTATTCTATAGTCTAGACTATAGTTTATTCTATAGTTCAGACTTTAGTCTATTCTATAGTCCAGACAATAGTCTATTCTATAGTCCAGATTATAGTCTATTCTATATTCCAGACTATAGTCCTATTCTATAGTCAAGATTATAATATATTCTATGTTCCAGACTATAGTCTTACCCAGCACATACAAGCCGATATCTATCGAAAGTCGGTATTATTTAAAAACAAGATTTGTTTCTCCTTCAGTAGAGATTGATTCTCAATTGATGTAAGACCCTATAAAAGGCACTCCCACTTCAACATAAAACTAACAAATGGAAAGAATTTCGGGATAGGGCCACCTACTGAATTTCACTTTTGACTATTTTGAATTACTTTTCATTTACTTTAGAGCTCTGCTAAACATGTACATACCACATTTTTACTACAAAAATATGTAAAAAATTTTGTAAATTTCATATTTTTCGTAGAATTTGTAAACTGTGTAAAAATTTTGATAACGTTAATTAATGTTATATTGTTTTACATAAAATTCTTAATGTAACTTTTAAGATATTATCATGGTTGGTGAGACTTGATCACAGTATACACATACATATGCACATAGGTATGTATAAATATAGGTACGTTGAAATTTACGCGAGTTAGTTTAAATCAGTTTTTAAAACTTTTCACATGAATTACGTACCGATTTTCAAAACTTAAATAAATGTAACAAAATCGAGCCATATAATAATGAAAACGATATAAAATGTGAGATTAGGCCGAAAATAGGAACGAACCCCATTATCGACTGATAGCTGTTACTTCACTAGCACTTTAATGGAAAACCTAACATCTTGTTTCGAAATAGTTTTAACAACTATAGCTGCATCGAATCGCTTGAACCCATGACTATTGATATTATTTTCTATTACATTCATTTGCAATGGTACATTTGATGTGAATAATAGCAAATAGTTATAATTTTGATATAAATGCCAGATAAATTTGAAAAAGTACCGTTAACTTGTACAGAAACTTAAAAACATAACAACGTCAAAAATGAAATCTTGTAAATATTAGACAATATAATCTTATAATCTATTAATACTACACCGAAATCTAATACATATATATTTTTACTTATTTTCCAGTTATCTTTTTTGCTATATTAGCCATTGCTATTGCCAGCATATTGTCCTGTAAACCCGAAGGCAACAATAAGCCTGAATGTACCGACGAAAATGTAAATGCATCCGTTCGTAACTTTTGGGATCCCACTCACTATTGGTTGTGTAAAAGTGCTGGTTCCGATGCTGAATCTGTAAAATGTCCCGATGCTCAAGGTTTCGATTCAGATAAGGGTACTTGTGTACCCTTCAAAGAATGGAAATGGACTGATCCTTGCCCACCTGATGCAAGGAATAAAAAAATCTTTGGTAATCTAAAACTATGGAAAGTGGAAACTTAAATTTAATAAAATTAATTTTTTTGATTGAAATCTTTTAATATATCGTTAGAACAAAATAATAACAAAATTTTAAGAAATTATATATACTATAGAATATAGTCTATATAATCGTCTGAACATTTGTCTGGTCTATAGTATAGTCTATAGTGTGGACTAGAGCATAGTTCACAGTCTGGAATATATTCTAGTATAAAGTTTGGACTTAAGTTAGTATATGTAGGTTGATATGGTCTATAATATGGATTACAGTTAAGATTATAGTTTGAACTAGGGTCTAATCTAGGTGTAGACTATAGTTTAGTCTATATTTTTGAGTTATATATTAGTCTAGAGCCTGAATATTCTAGACTAAAATTTGTAGTATAATCTAGCCTATTGCTTAGACTATAGTTTAGTCAATAGCACTATAGTCTAGTATATAATCTGGTCTTAGTCTGGCTACAGTCTAAACAATTGCTTTGTCTATACTTTTGGACTATAGTCTGTAGCCTGGACTATAAACTAGTCTATGGTTTGGAGTATAGTCTAGTTAATAATCTAGACTATAGTGATTGGCTTATAGTTTAGCCTTTTCTATAGTCTAGCCTTTTTTAGCAATAGGCCAGTTTAAACAATAGGTTATTCTAGGGTATAGTTTAAATTTTAGCCAGACTATTGTTGAATCTAAAGACCAGACTATAGTTGAGTTTATAGACCGGACTATAGTTGAGTCTATGTATACTCCAGACTATAGTTGAGTCTATAGTCCAGACTATAGAATAGTCAATAGTCCAGAATATTGCTTGGTCAATAGTCCAGACTATAGTTGAGTCTATAGTCCACATTATTGTTGAGTCTATAGTCCACATTATTGTTGAGTCAATAGTCCAAACTATAGTTGAGTCAATAGTCCAGACTATAATTAAGTCCATAGTTAAGTCCATAGTATATAATGCAGTATTTGGTTTAGATTTTAGTTAAGACTATAGCATAGTCATGAAATGAGTCCATGATCTAGACTATAGTTGTATCCACAGTATAGTATATAATCTAGTATTTGATTTAGATTTAAGTTAAGACTATGGCAGAGGCTTTAGATCAGACTATTGCTGATTCTAAAGTCAAGACTATAGTTGAGTCTATATTCCAGTCTAAAGTCTGGACGATATTCTAGACTTAATTCCGAACTATACACTAGTTCATATTTTGGACTATAGCATAGACTACAGTCTGAGTAATAGTTTGTATTATAGTCTAGTCAATAATTTGGAACATAGTGTAGTCTATAGTCCAGATTAGACTATAAAGTAATGCATAATGCACAACTATAAACTGAACTGAAGTACAGGCTATTGTTAAGACTAGACCCTGAACTATATATAGACTAGAATATAGTCCAGTCTATAGACTATTTCAGACCATAGACTAGTCCATAGTCCGGACTATTAAATTTGATTGTAGTCTAAACTATAGAATATAGTCCTAAGTATTGTTCAAACTATAGTCTAAACTATATTTGAAACTATATGCTAGAATATAATACAGGCCTTAGCCTATAATATAGGCCTTAGCGCTATATATCAGACTAAAACCAGACTATACTCCAAACTAAAGATAGTCTATACTTATTACAGATAAAATTATAGTCCAGACCATATACTAGACTATTGTTCAGGTAATAGACTGAACTATATTCCATACTATAGGCTTGACTATAATACATACAGACATTATTTCTCAGATTGAGTTTTCAAAAAAATATTAGAGGATATCAAGAGACTCAACTAAATTCTAAACTGGGTTCAAAGGTCGTGCTGTTTTTAAATATAAATAATTACGATTTCATAAAAACGGGTCCATAATTTTAGATTAAAAATAGTATTTACTTTATTTTAAAAACATTTCATTATTTTTAAGCAGATGGGCAGGGTTCAGTCCATTTCCATTGATTGAAGGGTACGCAAGCACCCTTAGCTGAATCGAAACCTTCAGCATCGGGACAACGTACAGATTCAGCAGTGGCACCAGCAGATTTACACAACCAATAGTGAGTGGGATCCCAGAAGTTACGAACGGGTACATTTACATTTTTGGCAGTACATTCGGGTTGATTGTTGCTATCGGGATCACAGGCCAAAACGCAGGCAATGGCGAAAGCCAAAATGGCGAGAAACATAACTGGAAAATAACGATTTATTACAATTATTAAACTAAAAATGTGGAAGTTAAATATTTACCAGATTTCATTATTGATTTTGTTTTAGTCTCTGTGGTAGTCAAAGGAACTGAACTATTTGTTGATAGTTGGTTAAATTTGTCGGGTATTTATACCAAAAATATTTTGGAAAATAAAAAATAGCTTTTATCAATTTGTTTTTTAATGTGATAACACACATTTTTTAATTGAACTGTTTTTGGCAATTTAGTCAATGATGGTTTAGTAACTACAACTTCAGCAAAAACTTTCTAACTTCCTAATGGGTTTCATTCAAAAGTTTTGATAAGTGATGCGTAGGTATGTGCGCATGTTATTTATCAGACGATCTATTTATAGGTGGCCTTCATATAAGTGGCCACAGTTATACACTTTTTGATTTAGCATAAATTTTGTTATTACTTGCGTTTTATATAACCAGATATCATAGTGTAAAGCATGGCCAACATGGGTCCATATTAGAACCCAAAAAAGTTTCCCAGATGTATGAGGTACCTTTTATAGTAGGGAAAATGACTTAACATTAACTTACCTAAATGTATCGGGATCTTGAACCAACCCCGTGCCATATAAATCACCAGCATTGGTGTGAGCGGCCACCGCAGCAGCTGCAGCCACAGCGGTATTCATAATCATATGAAAATCTTTGGTACTGGCCGCACCAGCACATGCACTAGCATTGGCAGCATCCAAAAGGGGATGGTAAGAGGGTGGTGGGGCAGCAACAACTCCAGAACCTGATGAACTATTAAGAGCTGGTAAAGCGGCGGGTGGTGGCAAATGTGCTAAACTCTGTGTAGCTGCATATTGTTGGGGTGATGTATTGGAGAAATATTGTTGCATTTGTTGGGTATTAGGAGAGGGTGAACTCAAATCAATATGTGGAGAAGCCGAAGATGTTGAGGTGGCGGTAGGAGTTGAGGCGGGGGATAATAAAGAATGTTGTAGATTTGTTGGAGTGGGACTAACAACATTTAGGGATTCATTTGAAGATGATAATTGACGTTGTTGCTGTAACTCCTCATTCGATTTTGATCCCGAAGATTCCAATTCAGCCTCCTCTTGATCACTAACACCCGAATCGTTATTCAGGGTATGTTGGGCCTCGATTGATTTACGATGCATGCCTGTGGGAGAAAAAAGAAGATATTAATGAAAATTTTAATTAAATTCTATTTGTGTTTGTGTTAAAAATTTCCTAAATTGTTGCTTAACTTTTTGACTCAATGTCAAGTTAATTTGAAAATTATATCCTTTTATCTCCCAACAAAAGTATAAATAAAAAAATTTATTTAATCCTATTAAAGGCACTCAAACTTATAAAAACACATCCATTTATTTATAATGAAATTTTCAATTTCAAGTAAAACAGATTTCGAATATACATACATACATACATATCTTTGTAGGGTGGTTATTAGTTTTCTAGCAAGTGTGTTGCTGCTGCTAATATATCCCTGAAAACTGACTTTGTTTTAAGTAAAAGATCTATTTTTATTATTCCAAACAATAAAAGCTTAAAATTGCATTTATATTTACACGTACCCCAAAGTTTTTCGCTCATCTTTTGTATTTATTAAGCGATTAAATATTATTAATTATAACATGTTTTTTTGTTTTTCAAATTACTACTGTAAAGTCTTTGAAGTTGTTAAAGAGTTCTACACAAAAGGTGTGGGGATATATTAACAGTTTGGACTATAAACATGACTTTAATAAGGATTTTTAACTCGTATAGTCGTACAATAGGCTAGACAATAGTCTGGACAATAGACTAGACTATAGCCTGGACTATAGACTAGACTATAGACTGAACTATAGACTAGACTATAGCCTGGACTATAGACTGAACTATAGACTAGATTATAGTCTGGACTATAGACTAGACTATAGTCTGGACAATAGACTAGACTATAGCCTGGACTATAGACTAGACTATAGACTAGACTATAGACTAGACTATAGACTAGACTATAGACTAGACTATAGACTAGACTATAGACTAGACTATAGACTAGACTATAGACAAGACTATAGACTAGACTATAGACTAGAGTATAGACTAGACTATAGACTAGACTATAGACTAGAGTATAGACTAGAGTATAGACTAGACTATAGACTGAACTATAAACTAGACTGTACTCTGAACAAAAGACTAGACTATAGTCTGTTCTGTAGACTCGACTATAGTCTGGACTATAGACTAGACTAAAGTCTGAACTAAATACTAGACTATAGTCTGAATTAAAGACTAGAGTATAGTTGGATTAAAGACTAGAGTATAGTCTGGATTATAGAATAGACTATAGTATGGATTATATAGACTACACTATAGTCTGCACTATAGACTAGACTATAGTCTGGACTATAGACTAAACTATAGTCTGGACTATAGACTAGACTATAGACTAGACTATAGACTAGACTATAGTCTGGACTATAGACCAGACTATACACTAGACTATAGCCTGGACTATAGACTAGACTATAGTCTGCACTATAGGCTAGACTATAATCTGAACTATAGACTAGACTGTATTCTGGACTATAGACTAAACTAAAGTCTGGACTATAGACTAGACTGTAGGCTGGACTATAGACTTGACTTTAGTCTGGATTATAGACAATACTATTGTCTGCACCATAAACTTGACTATAGTCTGTACTATAGACTAGATTATAGTTTGGACTATAGACTAGACTATTATCTGGTCTCTATCTGAAGTCTAGACTATAGTCTGGACTATAGACTAGACTAGACTATAGTCTGGACTATAGGCTAGACTATAGTCTGGACTATAGACTAGATTATAGTGTGGAATATACATTTGACTATAGTCTGGACTCTAGGTTAGAATGTAGTCTGGACAATAGTCTGAACTATAGACTAGACTATATAATAGTCTATAGTCTGGATTATATAATAGACAAAAGTCTGGCCTATAGACTTGATTATAATCTGCTCTATAGACTAGACTATAGTCTGGCCTACAGTCTCGACTATAGTCTGGTCTATAGAGTAGTCTGGACTATAGACTAGAGTCCAGGCTATAGAGTGGAATATACATTGGACTAGAGACTAGACTGTAGTCGGGTCTTTAGACTATAATCTAGCCTAAGGTATAGACTAGACAATAGTCTAGACTATAGACTAGTTCTTACATTGAACTAGAGACTAGACTGTAGTCGGGTCTTTAGACTATAATCTAGCCTAAGGTAGAGACTGGACAATAGTCTAGACTATAGACTAGTTCTTAGTCTGGAATATAGACTAGATTATAGACTGGACTATACACTTGACTATTATTTAAACTATATACTAGACTATAGTCTGGAATATAGACTAGATTTAGATTGGACTATACACTAGACTATAGACTGTACTCTACACTAGACTAGACTATAGTCTGGACTATGGACTAGATTTTAGTTCGTACTTTGGTCTGGACTACAGACTTGACTATAATCGGACTATAGGCTAGACTATAGTCTATTCTATATAGTCTATAGATTACACTATATTCTGGACTATAGACTGGAGTTTAGTCTGAAATATAGACTAGACTATAGATTGGACTATACACTAGACTAGACTTTAGTCTGGACTATACACCAGACTATAGTCTAAACTATAGACTAGAATATAGTCTGTAAGTAGAATATAGACTGAACTAGAGAATAAACGATAGTATGGACTATAAACTATAATATAGACTATAGTCGAGACTATGGACTATACTTTATTCGGGAATATGATTTACTATAGTCGGCGCTATAGACTGGATTGCAGTCGGTTCAATAGCTTACGTATAGTTTTGTATGATAATTTTGAAAAACGCTTGGTTATATTCAAGTTTTAGATAAGTTAAATAAAGATCTCAAAAAATTTAATTATTATTTTAATTCTATTATTGCAACACCCTTTATTTTTCCCTAGATAACAGAGAAAAATATTTATAAAGTTATTTTGTGGCCTAAAACCTAATAATATTCATACATAATGCGAACAATCTCACCCCTCTACGAAAAAAGAATTTAACACAATCATTTATTTGAACGTTTGTTAATCCCAAAAGTCGATTTTATTGCGCATCTTTAGCAAGGTCCCTTTTGCAAATTTTCTACTTTTTGTTGTTATTGTCTGAACAAAAAAAAAAAACGGGTGTTTTGTTGTGGTATTTTTATAACAATTTGTTGGATTTTGTCAAGTACTGTCTATTTAGAAAGTTTATTGTTTTTTTTTTCAATATTTCAAAGCTATTGATGTCTGTCTGTCCAAAAATCAAGGGGTGTTAAAAAGGGTGCTGAAGATAAGAAAGGATGCTGCTGCTGGTCGTGTTGGTGGTTGTTACGATTGTTTAGTGATTATCATCTGCTGCTATATTTTTTTTTTTTTTTTGTTGAACAAATTTCTAACATATGACAACGTTTAAAATATTGTAAACGCGCTCTTAAGTTTTGTTTCCAGTTTTATTTATGTGTTTTGCAGCAAATACTTTTTATCTGAAATTCGTCATGCTTTTAAAGTATGTTCGAAAATAGAATTTTCAATTTCTATTGTTCGTTTAGTCGTTTTGGCTGTTTATTTTTTCAATTACCAATAGATAGTTTGAACTGTTGTCTAATGATGATGTTATCATTTGCTAGATAATTGGTAATCAACAGAAAACAAATAATCAATAATGAAGAAAAAGCAAAAAAGTTAATTGACAATTGTTTTACCATCTACCTATTGTTACTAAGTTTTAAAAGCAAAAAAAACTTTTATTTTTCTCCGTCTTGAGTAGGTTGAAACAAGCCCCCCAACTGTACTGGTTTTAAGCATTTCGATAATTAAAAATTATTCTAAATAAATTGAAAACAAATCGACCATAATACTCAAGGAGTAAAGTACTTATTCCAAATATATTATTCACTTGAAGTTGTTATTGTTAAAAAGCACGAGTCCATACAGCGCAATTATTAACAAGTACTTTGTTATACAGGAATAACTTTGATTTGATTTTACTAAATAAATATTTTTTTACACAACTGTTATCTTATTCCAATATACAAAATATATTATCAATAATATTTTGCTTGAAATTCTCAAATAAAGATATTGTTTGACGATTTTTAAAACTTTTTTTAGTTTTAACAAGTAAGTAAGTAAGGGCTTGGTCGACTATATGATACCCTACACCAGTTATGAATATTAAATGTGATTTATTTTTCATAATAAAGCATTTATCTTGAATATTACCTTGATTCCGATTTATTTAAGCAATTTATTGACGAAAAACTTATTTTCTAAAATAGTCTTTATATGTGGGATAGGAGCAAATGTGGACCGATCCCGATAAAATGGGCTACATTTATATTATACATAATTATGAGCTCAAAAGCCCTTTTCGGGGGTTCAGTATGGCGGCTAGGTAAAATAATGGTCCGATTTTAACCATTTTCAATAGGCCTGGAGTCAAAACAAACGTGTATTCCAAATTTCATCAAATTATCTTGAAAATTGCGACCTGTACTTTGATAACAACGTTTACATGGACACACGGACGGACGGACGGACGGACATCGTTAAATCGACTCAGAAAGTGATTCTGAGTTGATCGGTATACTTTAAGGTGGTGTATAGTGGTGTAGGGTATAAAAACTGATACAGTTGATGAGGTTTCAAGGTCAGGATGTTTCCGTTAAATGATTACTATTGGAGATAATCTAGTAATCTTTAGGTAGTTCGTTAGTTAGTTAGTTAGTTTGTTAGGTAGTTAGTTAGTTAGTAAGCTAGTTAGTTAGTTACTTAGTTATTTAGTTAGTTAGTTAGTTAGTTAGTTAGTTAGTTAGTTAGTTAGTTAGGTAGTTAGGTAGTTAGTTAGTTAGTTAGTTCGTTAGTTAGTAGTTAGTTAGTTAGTTAGTTAGTTAGTTAGTTAGTTAGTTAGTTAGTTAGTTAGTTAGTTAGTTAGTTAGTTAGTTAGTTAGTTAGTTAGTTAGTTAGTTAGTTAGTTAGTTAGTTAGTTAGTTAGTTAGTTAGTTAGTTAGTTAGTTAGTTAGTTAGTTAGTAGTTAGTTAGTTAGTTAGTTAGTTAGTTAGTTAGTTAGTTAGTTAGTTAGTTAGTTAGTTAGTTAGTTAGTTAGTTAGTTAGTTAGTAGTTAGTTAGTTAGTTAGTTAGTTAGTTAGTTAGTTAGTTAGTAGTTAGTTAGTTAGTTAGTTAGTTAGTAGTTAGTTAGTTAGTTAGTTAGTTAGTTAGTTAGTTAGTTAGTTAGTTAGTTAGTTAGTTAGTTAGTTAGTTAGTTAGTTAGTTAGTTAGTTAGTTAGTTAGTTAGTTAGTTAGTTAGTTAGTTAGTTAGTTAGTTAGTTAGTTAGTTAGTTAGTTAGTTAGTTAGTTAGTTAGTTAGTTAGTTAGTTAGTTAGTTAGTTAGTTAGTTAGTTAGTTAGTTAGTTAGTTAGTTAGTTAGTTAGTTAGTTAGTTAGTTAGTTAGTTAGTTAGTTAGTTAGTTAGTTAGTTAGTTAGTTAGTTAGTTAGTTAGTTAGTTAGTTAGTTAGTTAGTTAGTTAGTTAGTTAGTTAGTTAGTTAGTTAGTTAGTTAGTTAGTTAGTTAGTTAGTTAGTTAGTTAGTTAGTTAGTTAGTTAGTTAGTTAGTTAGTTAGTTAGTTAGTTAGTTAGTTAGTTAGTTAGTTAGTTAGTTAGTTAGTTAGTTAGTTAGTTAGTTAGTTAGTTAGTTAGTTAGTTAGTTAGTTAGTTAGTTAGTTAGTTAGTTAGTTAGTTAGTTAGTTAGTTAGTTAGTTAGTTAGTTAGTTAGTTAGTTAGTTAGTTAGTTAGTTAGTTAGTTAGTTAGTTAGTTAGTTAGTTAGTTAGTTAGTTAGTTAGTTAGTTAGTTAGTTAGTTAGTTAGTTAGTTAGTTAGTTAGTTAGTTAGTTAGTTAGTTAGTTAGTTAGTTAGTTAGTTAGTTAGTAGTTAGTTAGTTAGTTAGTTAGTTAGTTAGTTAGTTAGTTAGTTAGTTAGTTAGTTAGTTAGTAGTTAGTTAGTTAGTTAGTTAGTTAGTAGTTAGTTAGTTAGTCATAGTCTAGTCATAGTCTAGTCATAGTCTAGTCATAGTCTAGTCATAGTCTAGTCATAGTCTAGTCATAGTCTAGTCATAGTCTAGTCATAGTCTAGTCATAGTCTAGTCATAGTCTAGTCATAGTCTAGTCATAGTCTAGTCATAGTCTAGTCATAGTCTAGTCATAGTCTAGTCATAGTCTAGTCATAGTCTAGTCATAGTCTAGTCATAGTCTAGTCATAGTCTAGTCATAGTCTAGTCATAGTCTATAGTCTAGTCATAGTCTAGTCATAGTCTAGTCATAGTCTAGTCATAGTCTAGTCATAGTCTAGTCATAGTCTAGTCATAGTCTAGTCATAGTCTAGTCATAGTCTAGCCATAGTCTTGTGATAGCCTAGTCATAGTCTTGGCATGGCTTAGTCTATTTAGAGCATATGTAATAGACTAGTAAAAACACTTGTGCCTGAGTTTTGGAACTATCGTCGTTTGTAGTCGATTAATATGTAGTGTTTTAAAGATCTGGATCTTGGCTTCACGTGAGTTAATTCTATCACTTTAATACAAACTTATTATAATTGTCTTAATTAAATATTTAATTATTTCGATACAATTATTGCATTTACTTTTATTCTCCATACCTAGCAGCCAGGGTGCTACCGATTCATTTTCTTTTGCCGACTTCAAAATCGTTTCAGGTAAAGGCAACGAATGTCTAACCATGGCTCCATACAAACCATACTCAGCCATAATAGTGCTGCGACCCCAGCATTTTTCCGTTTTACGCCATTTGGCGCGACGATTTTGAAACCAAACCTGAAAAAATAGAAAATAAATAATTAAAATGAGTTATCATTTGTTTAACAAATATGCAAAGAAATTAACTAAAAAGTAAATCGAGCTCAAGACTACCTAGGGGTCTTGAGCCCTTTTAGACTTTTACCTAGATTTCAATACATTTAATTTCGCGTACTTTAAGAATGTAATGATATTTGTAAAAGCATTTTATTTAGTGTTTGTTCTTTGACAATGATTAACATTTAACGGTTGTCATTTAGCATATATTTAGGGGTAGTTTTAATAATTGTGTTAAACTATAACAATTACAACTGTCATTGTTTACTTAAGCCGAAAATTAACCCTTTTTTAAGTAGATTCTAGACAACACCTTCAAAAATAACAATGAGTTCTAAAAAAACTATTATTTAAAGTAAACAAATTTAGTATTAAAATGTTTTTCCAGCAAAATGACTTTTTAATGCATATTTTTAGACACATTGCTTAAAATAACAGTAGTTGGCATACATTTAGGCTAAACACAAATAATAAAAGTAAAGTTTCTTTTGGTAAACAAGGCAAAATGTAACGAATTTGACAGGTTGTTTTGTTAGAGTTTAAACTTGTCAAAAAGTCTCTAGGAATATGTTTTTAGTAGAACTAAATATGTATTTTTTTAAAAACATAAAAGATATTTTAATAACTTGTTTGTTATAAATAATGTGTTTTAATACTGCATATAAGTGACCATAATTAGATTATCTTCCACTACATTTAATTCATTTTTTCTTTATGAAACATTAAATAATGATCATCTCGGAAATATGATGGGTTAGTTGACATTACAACCAACTGTTACAAATGACAAACATTGTCATAAAATTCAATTCGTTTAGTTTTTATGACAACTCACTTGCATGTATGATGAAATGTTGGAATAAGAAATCAACCCACATTAAAAATGAGGGTAACAAAGTCGAATTTCAAATACTTTATAAATAATTTTCATATCCTTTAGGCTGTCAGCAGAGATTTGGACTGTGATTGGACTAAAGACTAGACTTTGGGACTGTGACTGGACTATAGACGAGACTATAGAATAGATTATAGGCTAGACTATAGACTAGACTATAGACTAGACTATAGAAGAGACTAAAGACTAGATTAAAAACTAGATCAAAGACTAGACTATAGACTAGACTATAGACTAGACTATAGACTAGACTATAGACTAGACTATAGACTAGACTATAGACTAGACTATAGACTAGACTATAGACTAGACTATAGACTAGACTATAGACTAGACTATAGACTAGACTATAGACTAGACTATAGACTAGACTATAGACTAGACTATAGACTAGACTATAGACTAGACTATAGACTAGACTATAGACTAGACTATAGACTAGACTATAGACTAAACTATAGACTAGACTATAGACTAGACTATAGACTAGACTATAGACTAGACTATAGACTAGACTATAGACTAGACTATAGACTAGACTATAGACTAGACTATAGACTAGACTAGTCTAGACTAGTCTAGTCTATAGTCTAGTCTATAGTCTAGACTATAGACTAGACTATAGACTAGACTATAGACTAGACTATAGACTAGACTATAGACTAGACTATAGACTAGACTATAGACTAGATACTATAGACTAGACTATAGACTAGACTATAGACTAGACTATAGACTAGACTATAGACTAGACTATAGACTAGACTATAGACTACTATAGACTAGACTATAGACTAGACTATAGACTAGACTATAGACTAGACTATAGACTAGACTATAGACTAGACTATAGACTAGACTATAGACTAGACTAGAGACTAGACTATACTAGACTATGACTAGACTATAGACTATACTAGACTAGACTAGACTAGACTATAGGACTAGACTATAGACTAGACTAAAGACTAGACTAGACTATAGACTAGACTATAGACTAGACATAGACTAACTATAGACTAGACTATAGACTAGACTATAGACTAGACTATAGACTAGACTATAGACTAGACTATAGACAGACATAGACTAGACTATAGACTAGACTATAGACTAGACTATAGACTAGACTATAGACTAGACTATAGACTAGACTATAGACTAGACTATAGACTAGACTATAGACTACTATAGACTAGACTAAGGACTAGACTATAGACTAGACTATAGTACTAGACATAGACTAGCTATGACTAACTATGACTAAGACTATGACTAGACTATGACTAGACTATGACTAGACTATGACTAGACTATGACTAGAACTATGACTAGGACTATGACTAGACGATGACTAGACTATGACTAGACATACTAGACTATGACTAGACTATGACTAGACTATGACTAGACTATGACTAGACTATGACTAGACTATGACTAGACTATGACTAGACTATGACTAGACTATGACTACTATGACTAGACTATGACTAGACTATGACTAGACTATGACTAGACTATGACTAGACTAACTAGACTATGACTAGACTATGACTAGACTATGACTAGACTATGACTAGACTATGACTAGACTATGACTAGACTATGACTAGACTATGACTAGACTATGACTAGACTATGACTAGACTATGACTAGACTATGACTAGACTATGACTAGACTATGACTAGACTATGACTAGACTATGACTAGACTATGACTAGACTATGACTAGACTATGACTAGACTATGACTAGACTATGACTAGACTATGACTAGACTATGATGCTAACAATCAGCCACAGTACGTTCAATAAAGCACTTCAACTTATTACTGCCTTCCTAGGTATTCTTAGTATTTCTAGTGCTAATTCCTATCTGTAGGGTGTCCTTCTGAACATATTTATCCTCAAAACCACCCTTGTTACAATAGAAATTATTAAATAAAAAAAAATGCTCAATAAAAAGTCAACATACTTATACACCATCAAATCATTTCGTTCTGCTGTTTGCCAATAACATCCGAAAAAAGGATACGGATTCCTTTTATGCGCAAAAAAACCCTGAAAACCTTAAAGACTTAATTATGTGAACCAACTTATTTATAATACTATTAAAGACTAGAAAAATTCCTTACAACTGGCCAACAATGGTATAAAAATGCAAACTTTTTTTATTACCCCAAAATAAAAAATTCTCTTTAGAAATCTTGTACCCAAAAATCTTTTTCACTTTATGCGGGTGTTAAGAGACAAGATTTTTTTTATTTGTTAATATCCAGAGTCTAGAAAATTTGCATAATTTGTTAAAGGACATTTGTCATCGTTTAGTAGTATTTTTTGTTGTTTTGCCTTTTTTCTATATTCTTGATCTGCTTTGGTGCCAGTCAAAGCGAATTTTTGAATATAAAAAGGATAATAAATTTGCATTTAACGTCAAGTGGTTGCTGTTTGGTAGTCGTGTTGTTCATGTGTTTAAAATAGATATTTCTATGGAATTTTTTCTTTTCTAGTAGTATTCTTTTAACCGATTTATGAGTTTTGCTTTTAAATGTGATTTTTCTTTTGGATTTTTTAGTTTTCTATTTTTGAGGAGATTTATGTGCTTGAAATAATGTATTTGTTATTTAATTTTAAAAGAAAATGTAGATGATAACATAAATTGTTAACAAATATAGAAATAAAGTTATTGATAATGTGCCTGTATTTAAAAATAGCTGACGGCAGCCTTGCAACTTCAAGAAAATCTATAAAACTTTACCATTTTGTATAAAAGCTACTATTAAGGTGAAACTGGAGAAGAGTAGTCATAATCAAATTGTAGTCCAGTCTGTAGTCTAGTTTATAGTCTAGTTCACAATCTAGTTTATAGTCTAGTCTATAACCTAGTTTATAGTCTAGTCTATAGTATACTAATTAATCCAATCAATAGTCACATAGTAGCTAGTCTATAGTCTAGTCTATAGTCTAGTCTATAATCTAGTCTATAGTAAAGTCTATAGTCTAGTCTATAGTCTAGTCTCTAGTCTAGTAGTCTAGTCTATAGTCTAGTCTATAGTCTAGTCTATAGTCTAGTCTATAGTCTAGTCTATAGTCTAGTCTATAGTCTAGTCTATAGTCTAGTCTATAGTCTAGTCTATAGTCTAGTCTATAGTCTAGTCTATATTCTAGTCTAGTCTAGTCTATAGTCTAGTCTATAGTCTAGTCTATAGTCTAGTCTATAGTCTAGTCTATAGTCTAGTCTATAGTCTAGTCTATAGTCTAGTCTATAGTCTAGTCTATAGTCTAGTCTATAGTCTAGTCTATAGGTCTAGTCTATAGTCTAGTCTATAGTCTAGTCTATAGTTAGTCTCTAGTCTAGTCTATAGTCTAGTCTATAGTCTAGTCTATAGTCTCTAGTCTATAGTAGTCTAGTCTAGTCTAGTCTAGTCTATAGTCTAGTCTATAGTCTAGTCTATAGTCTAGTCTATCAGTCTAGTCTTATGCTAGTCTATTATTTGTCTATAGTCTTAGTCCTATATCTAGTCTATAGTCTAGTCTATAGTCTAGTCATAGTCTAGTCATAGTCTAGTCATAGTCTAGTCATAGTTATTTTAAGGTGGAAGTATCGTTACGAACGCACGTTCTTAAAGATCAGTCCTATTGTTTTATTTTTTATTCCGGTAAAACAACAGTTTGAATATTTAATGTGCATTTATTTATTTTGTAATAAAATTACGAACTGTTGCAAGCCATACTGGTGACTGAAAATAATTTCTATTTACTTAATTTCATCAAAAAATCTTCGAAGTTTATTTTTTGCGAACATATACACAAACATTCTTAATTATCATTAAAATTTCACTCAACTTAAACAATTTTGATCGTAAACAAACATTGACTCGTAAACAAAAGTCATATCAGCTGAATATCATCTGTCAATTTCTGATCAGTGCTACCAAGTCATCTATCGTAAGTGTTGTATTTTCTTAATAATAAACGGCATTATCGACATACACTTAAAGAAATTATCATGAGTGATCAATTTAAATGTCTCAACAAAAACTGCACTCTATCATGTGTTGA